TCAGTAATGCTTTGAGTTTCACCCAGCTGGACAAAAGTCAATTACGATTCTTTTTGAGCAATGCCGTTTAATATGAGGATAATTTATTTCAATTAGGATATAAAAGGAACATAAATTTAATTTCCCAAGGCAATCAATCAGAGCCTGAACTCATTATTCATCACCGATTCTTCCAGTTTTGAGGATCTTAATTCTTATTATCCCAGTTTTTTGTGGCTTTAAGTACAACTAACTTTTTTATTCGAAAAGATGAAATTAATATTTCCTCCAGTCTGAGCAGACGTACATTTGTTCTGCATCTCTACCAATACTGTTCTAAATCAAAAATAAGAAGGTGTATGACAAGATCTGGGAATGATTCAGTCCGTCCATCTCTTAGTCTTTGCTTAGGTTCTTCCATATGACAATGGTTGTGGTCAGCAACTCCTTGCATAGGCAAAAAGAAACTAGAAACTGTGTCCTATAATACATTCTAGAGTGCCAGTGCACCGAGGTTTTCATATGTGTAAATTAGATCTAGAGTTCTCTGTTCAAATTTGGGGATACAATGGCCTAGTGGTATTATCACTAGACTACTAATTCAGAAACCCAACCAAAGTTCTGGGTGTAGTGATTGTAATGAGGTCAGCCAGGTGGACCTCATAGACAATGAGCTCACTGATTGGGGCTGTTAATCTGGTCCAATCAGGGAGCCCTGGCTGACAGATAAGAACAGGAGTGTCAGACATTCTGTTCACTCTCAGAGCTGGCTCTGAGGGAGTTGGATCAGTGTCAAGGGTGCTCCATGTGTAAATAAAGGGTGGTGACTTGGTGATGAGATATGGCCTCTGTGGAGTTATTTCACTGGAGGCCCAGGTTCAAATACCACCATGGCAGGGGCGGTGATGGCCTAGTGGTATTATCACTGGGCTGTTAATCCAGAGACCCAGGTAATGATCCAGGGTCCAGGGTTCAAATCCTGGCATGTAGATAGTGGAACTTGAATTCAATTAAAAGTCTTGAATTAAGAGTCCAATGATGAGCATGAATCCATCGTTGATTGTTGGAAAAACCCATGTTTCACTCCTGTCCTTTAGGGAAAGAAATCTGCTATCTCTACCTGGTCTGGCCTATATGTGACTCTAGACTGACAGCAATGTAGTTTAATCTTGATTACCATCTGGGCAATTAGGGATGGGCAATAAATACTGGTCCAGCCATTGACACCCTCATCTGTGAGTGAATAAAGCAAAAATTGTGCAAACAATATGTTTTGGACAGGGCACAGAGGAAGGAGAGCAAGCAAACTAATCAAAGGTTAAAGAGATGGTTTGCAAGATAACAGAGCAGAAGTTCTGTGAAGAAATGCTAGTAATTACTGACTAATATAAGATATTGGGTGGAAAAATAAATGTTAGACTTAGAATTTAATTTCAACATAGGATGAACTTAGTAAGACAGAGGACATGTAGTTCAAAAATGACTTATCCAGATGACAAATTAGTAGAATTATTGCAAGACCAATGATACGTTTTTTGAGCCTGCATAGACGGGAACTGCAAAAATAAAAATGGAAAGAACTGCAGATGCTGTAAATCAGGAACAAAAACAAAGTTGCTGGAAAAGCTCAGCAGGTCTGGCAGCATCTGTGAAGAATAAAACAGAGTTAATGTTTCGGGTGTGGTGACTCTTCCTCAGTGTGTAGATGGGAACTGCATGCCACCAAGACCTAGTCCCCATCCTATCCCCATAGCCCCATATAAACCATAGCTAACCCACCTAGGCTGCACAACCTGGACGCTATGGACAATTTGGCTTGGCCAATCCACCTAATCTGCACATCTTTGGACTGTGGCAGGATATTGAACCACCCAGAGGAAACCCACACAGACAGTTCCCTCAGGCTGTAATCAAACTCGGGTCCCTGACATTGTGAGGCAGCAGTGCTAACCACTGAGCAACCCTTAAGGTCACTTTTAAGGTCTTACAGTTGTGATTTTGAAAGGGCTGGAGAGGTTATTGTGCTTTCAGAAACTGACTGGAGGCTGGTGAGAACAGAGACAGCGTACTGAAAAATTTTGAGCAAGGGTAGGCAATTCAGCCCTCAAGCTTGCCCTGCCATTCAATGAGATAATTGTTGATCTAAATTGTGGCCTCACTCCACTTGCCTGCCTGTGCCCCTATAACCTTTGACTCGATTGTCAACCTAAGATCTACCTAATTCAACCTTGAATATATTCAATGACCCAAACTGTATTGATTGATGAGGAATTTAATCCGAAAAAGTAGAGTCATAGAGTCATACAGCACAGAAACAGACCCTTCGGGCTAACTCATCCATGCCAACCAAATTTCCTAAACTAAACTAGTCTCATGTGCTTGCGTTGGCCCATATCCCTCTAAACGTTTCCTATTCATGCACCTGTCCAATTGTCTTTTAAGTGTTTTAACTGTACCTGCATCTATCACTTCCTCTGCCAGTCCATACCACATACAAACTATCACGCTTTCTCCTCTCATCTTAAACCTATGACCTTTAATTTTGAACTCCCCTACCCTAGGGAAAAGACCTTTGCTATTCACCTTATCCATGACCCCCATGATTTCATAAACCTCCATAACGTCATGCCTCAACCACCTACACTCCTGTGAAACAAGTCCCAGCCTAACCAGCCTCTCCTTACAAAACAAACCCTCCAGTGCCGGTAACATCCTTGTAAATCTTTTCTTTACTATTTCCAATTTAATAATATCCTTCCTATAACAAGATGACCAGAACTGAAAACAGTACTCCAAAAGTGGCCTCACCAACGTAACTAGTGACCCATATAATCCAAATCCTCTGTTTCCTGTTAGCCAGTACTCTCATCCATACCAATATTTCACTCCACTCTCAACCTTTATGCTGCACACAAGAAATTTGATCTGTCTGTAAATGTTGCCAAAACAAAATTCAAATCAACCTATATATGGTCAACTGACTATTCCAATTTCAATATTCACTCTGGAATACATTGATTGCTTCCCATACATTGTCCTCTCCAAACTGAGGAGGAAATCCAACACCATAACAGCTGCACCAGCGCAACTTTCTCCACACCAAGGCAGCAAATATTTGACATTAAAGACCTCTGCAAGTCAATGGAAGTTCTACTGTAAAGAGTTCTTGTTGTCATCACACCAGCATGTGTATTAGCACTAAGAACCAAGAGAAGTTCCATCAGCAATACCTCTGCCATACCCTCCACGTTCAATGGAATGACTGTAGAATGAACGATAATATCCTCCTTGAAGACAGCTGTAGAAGCATGACAAAATCAATTTTGATGGAAAGACCACTGTGTCCAAATGGTCAAAAATGGTCTTCCCAGACAGACAGGTCTGTTTTTCAACTCTCGAATGGCCAACATCGCTTGTGATGATAAAGAAACTGTTTCAAAGGCACCCTGAAGGTCTCCTTGAAGCACGGCAGCGTTGACATGTATAGCTGGGAGAAGCTTGCTCTCACAATTATTCAGAATGGTGACAACTTGTCCATCAACCTGCTTCATGTTTTGCACCTTAATGAGACTGAGCAGTGGCAGAGGTGAAAAGAATAGGAAGCAAAACCTGCAACTCCGAACCCTTATACTTTGTGGGGTACCTAGGAAGGTAATCTCTCTCCCTTCCCTATCATGGCCTCTAGTATTAGATTTGCGTAAGTGTTGAAGCTGTTCTACCTTGAGTGCTAGCTCCTCTTTATTTCTTGCTTTTGTCTGAAGGAGAAGGCTTTCACATAAACTACAGGCCTCTCCCTTAGGCTAACCAGCGATGGCTGCCATGAGTGTCTCAATAGGTCCTACCCAGATTTCATCTGACCCATTTCCACTGCTACCTCAACTGGGTCTAATTAAACAGAAAAGTTGTCCCCAAATCAATTAAGGGTTCACCCCAGGAAAAATCTGAACTTTCCACCAGAGGCAGATTTCTGGCCATAGTAGGGCAAGGCAATAACAAACTCTGCTTCTAGCACCGTGAATAAAACTTTCAGCAAGTGATATCAAAAATGCATTTGGATGGGAAGCTGACTTAATTACCAGAGCAAAGTAAGATGAGCCAAATGGCATTTTCCTGTTCTGATGCTGCATATGGCAAGAAAAAACCTAGTTCAGTACACCGTAGATGAAATTTCTTGGCTAGGTCTGATAGCTGTATTAATCTGGTTGTTGAAATAATTTGGCCAGCAGGTACAAAGTTCTATCAAATCTGAGACCTTTCGTCTTTCAATGTTGCATTCACCTCAAAAACAGAAGGGAAACAGACCTCAGAAAGAAGTCTCAAAAATTGATCTTGATCTATCTGACAGGCTAGACCATGAATGGGGGTTGTAAAGAAAAAAACTTTCATACACTTTTAAGATAACATTTCCTAATTATCTGATTATTATTGTTTATTTCTGAGGGATCTTACAGACATTTTCGGACATGGTAGTGATACACATATATTCCTATATTCAGTTAGTTCCAAGATAAATATACCCAGGTGTTATTGCCAGTCAAACTGAAAAGTAAGTGCCTTTTTACACTCTTCCGCGTGAATTTCTAAAGCAGGAATCGGTTTGTTTCCTCTGGAAAAATTAAAGTTATATTATTTGTAATTCCATTCATCATAGTAGAATTGATTATTTTCTCTCTACTAGTTTTCTTCCTGTTTTTAAGGTTTTTTTTACACCTCATTACTGTTGGTTTAGTTGGAATTTTTAAAAAAATGCAACACACCCTCTTGGGCCACTTAAAATGTTACGTGGTGTCTATGCTCTAGGCAAGGGTCATTTTACTTAGAATTGGTTGAAGTCAAACAAAGTTCGGGATGGCCCTACAAACCTTGTCTATAGAATTCCTCACAGACTTTCTCACTCCATTGCTTGCTCATATTCCAAACTCGACAAGGATTACAGATGTCTGCACACTTCAGTGCTATCTGAAATAAAAATCAGAAACAGAGACATGACGTAAGGCAATAGCAACGAAAAGTTGTGTGGTTTTCTTAAACAAACCAAAATGTCACAATGTTACCCATGTAATATTCTTCTAAATTGCAGCATATCTGGCTCCACAGATATAGGTTGTTAATTACAAACCGATCTAAACCCAGGAAATAAATTCGTACTTTAAAGAAAAGTCTCAAATCATTTGCTTCATTCATATCAGATTATGTACACCTGTAGTAAGAAACTTACATGGCTGGTCATTCTTGACTGCTGTATAATTTTTCTTAGGTCTTTGCAATAACTTGCAGTAGCTCTGCAAAACCACGTAAAACATCCATTTCAGGCAGCATAGAGTGGAGAGGGCATGATGGGTGTGATCCTTTGTATTTCAGTTCATCTGGTTTCACAAAAAAGGGATTCGTGTCTTCTCTGGGGTAGTAGGAACTGCAGATGCTGGAGAATCTGAGATAACAAGGTGTAGAGCTGGATGAACACAGCAGGCCAAGCAGCATCAGAGGAGCAGGAAAGCTGACTTTTCGGGTCTAGACCCTTCTTCAGAAATGGTCTCTTAGAGATCAGTCACAGATGGGATCTTCCTTATTTTCAAATCTCCAAGTAGTAGCTAATACTCTGTGGAGACTGTAGAAAGGAACAAGGAAAACTGAATTGCAATCTGCCTTAGAGATTTGCAAAAACAATCCCCCTTTAATGAGGTGGGAAACACGACTGGGTGATTCCTGGAAATGACCGCACCCAAGCGGAGGCACTTTAGTTTTGGTGCCTGAAATGGATGCTTGCAGAGCTACATGGAGAAGCCTTTAGCTTTTGTTGTTAAATTATGTTTTATTAATATATTAAAGGCAACACTGAAGAATTATATGGCAAGCACCACATCAACAAAAGTGTAGTTACCCCTAGGAAAGTGAGGCAGCAAGAATTCTGGAAAGTTGGGAGTTAAAAGGGTTAATCACCACATGCTGGAAAACTCATAACCACAAAAATGCAAGCACACATTCTACTCTTGAAAAGAGCTTTTCGAAAATACAAATTCACAGACTAATTAATTATGTTGTATCACGGTGTAGGTAAGGTTAACAACTTCAACAGCCTTTGCCATGGCTTCTGAGCCCAGGGAGAAACTCCCTTAAAGCAAGGGAGCTCCTCAGCCTCATGTTTTAGCATTTGCTGCTCCTCAGCTATTTTTACACCTTCAAGAAAGGAGGCCATGCAACTTTAGACATAATGAGCAAAGGCAGTGGCTCCAACTTCATATTTTCAGCAGCCATTTATTCATTGAAGATGCTAAATGTAATGATAACTTTATTGTTGGCTATACTGTACTGCCACTGTGTCCAAACGAACCGCCAGCCTACCAACCTGTGTGGTTTCAATGTCAACAAAACAAAAATTCAGTTCAAACATATGAGCGTTGATCAAATGGTGGAGTAGACCTAATGGGCCAAATGGCCTGATTCAGCTCCTATATTTTATGATCTTTCTTCTGCAGCTCAATGACAGTTGAAATAGGATTTGTCTGTGTATTCCAAGTCTGGCCTCATTCTCTCTCCAAACTGGACACTCCACAGGCAACCTTTCAGGTCCAATATGTACCCATTATCACGTATGTTCAAGATGTCAGTTCCTTGATTCAGTTGACAGGTTTCAATGTCATTGGATAAAAAGGTAATTTCAGTTCAGACAGCTTTGTTTATTCCAAATGGATACATGACCGTGCATCAATCTGTGGTCAGTTGATCACTGCAGCCATTTTAGGTCACGGGTTTGTCCTTTTGAAACCATTTCAGTCTATGAAAGGTCTCAGTTATTAAAATCAGACAACGAAAGCTGAAATTGACAGTCCATATTTTACCATCATCAGGACAAAGGGAAAAACCACTCAACAACACATCAATCTGCATGGATCAGGAGGGGAATGGTGATCTGCTGCCACTTAGCCCAGCAATCATTTTTGCAATGCCTCATTTTGATACACCCTAAAGTGGGTCATTCTGAAGAAGAGTCATATCAGACTTGAACTCTGTTTCTCTCTCCACAGATGATGTCAGACCTGTTGATTTCTCCTGAATTTACAATTTTTATTTCAGTTTTACAGCATCCGCAGTATTTTGCTTTTATTTGATATAACTTTCACGTCTGGTGGAATAATGAAAAATATTTTCTTCTCCCTAACTGTATGAAATGTCACTATAACATGGTGAAGGATTAAGGGATAATAAAAGAAGGGTAGCGCAGTGATAATGATATTGGTCTAGTGCTCCAGAGAACTGGACTAACGCACTGGAGATCGGTTCAAATTTCACTACAGCAGCAGGAGGAATTCAAATTCAATTAATTCAATAAACCTGAAATTAAAATGCTAGTCTCAATAATTTGATAATTAAACTACCAGATTGTTATGAAAATAAACCCATCCGCTTCAAAATAATACTCGGCAAAGGAAATCTTTCATCCTTACCCAATTTGGTCTTCATGAGACTGGTTGAATCTGAACAGCTACAGAAAAGAAAGTAGAATGGAAATAAAGCAGACAGACCACCCGCCATCAACCCAGGCGTTGGATGTAACAAATGCACATCCTTCCCAGTCAATTCCATAAAGTCCTCTTCATTAACATCTGCGGGTTTCTCAGAAAAGCAAGAAAACTGACCCACACAATAGTCAAGCAACGTAGTCATACTCACAGAATCAAAGCTTACAACTGATATTTCAGATTCTTCCATCACTACCTCTGGGCCTGGCCTATCAGTGGGACCAAAAGTGGTAGCACTGTGGTATACACTTGGGAAGGGAGTCCTCAACAATGACCCTGGATCTCATTAAGTCAAGTCAAATATTCTTAAGGAAAACTTCTGATTACCACATACCCAACCACAGCCCTTCCCTACCAACTCAGCCCTAATTCCCATGATGCATCAGTGGTCCTTGATACTGAACACCACGTGAAACAGTGAGGTTAACAATGGGTCAGAATGTTTAATGGATAGGTTATTTAATGTTTATCACCAAGAGAGGCATGGTGGCACTGTGAATGACTGAGCTGGTCTTATCCTGGTAGGTTATATTTCTCAGAGTGGGCCTGTAGTAGATTGTGAGAGAAACAACTCACCCTCATCAATTTACCTGTCACAGATGCATGTGCACGAAACAATATTGTTAGTAAGGACCACAATGAAAAAGTCTTGTCAATGACTAAGGACACCCTCACTGATGGCATTACCACCATATTAAATAGAATAGATTCAGAAAACATCGAGCAGCTCAAATTTATGAGGAATTTATGATGTGTTATGTAAGCCATCAACAGCAGCAGGATTGTATTCAGTCATTATATGTTTGCTCATGATCTAACATATTGCCCACTCTACCATTATCAACAAGACAGAGGACTAGCCCTAGTTCAGTGAAGAGTGCAGGAGGACGTGGCAGAAACAACACCACGCATGTCTGAAAATGAGTTGTCAATCTGGTTCATGTACAACACAGGACTACTTGCAGGTCAAACAGCAAAAGCAGGGTGAAACAGGTATGGCCAGGTGATCCAACAACCAGCAATCAAGTCTAAGCTTTGCAGTCCTGCCAAATCCAGCTATGAATAGTGGTGGACAATTAAACAACTAACAGGAGGAGGAGGCTCCACAAATATCCTCATCTTCAATGATGAGCGAGCACAGCACATCAGTGTAAAAGACAAGGGACAAATCAGAAGCATGACTGAATCATCTCCACTTGTACAGATGGGTGCAGCTCTAATAACAGTCAAAGTTATAGGAAGGATATTATTTAGCTGGAGAGGGTTCAGAAGAGATTGACCCGGATGGTGCTGGGTATGGATGGTTTGAATTATAAAGAAAGGCTGGATCGGCTGGGACTTTTTTCACTGGAGCGTCGGAGGTTGAGAAGTGACCTTATAGAATTTTATAAAATAATGAGAGGTATAGATAGGGTTAACGGTAGTCGTCTTTCTCTTAGAATGGGGAATTTCAAGACTAGGAGACACATTTTTAAGGAGAGATGAGACAGATTTAAAAAAGACATGAGAGCAAAAGTTTTTACACAGAGGGTGGTTTGCATGTGCATTGAACTTTCTGAGGGAGTGGTGGATGTGGGTACAATTACAATGTTTAAAAGGCATTTGGATCAGTACATGAATAGGAAAGTTTTGGAGGGAGATGGGCCAGGAGCAGGCAGGTGGGACAGTTTAGTTTGGGATTATGTTCGACAGGGACTGGTTGGACCGAAGGGTCTGTTTCCATGCTGTATGACTCTATGACTCTAAGAAGCTTAACACCATCCAAGACTAAGCAGCCTACTTAATTGGCACCCTGTTCACTGCCTTAAAATTCAGTCCTGTCACCTCCAATGCACATTGGCAATAACGTTTACCACCTTCAAGACAAACTGTAGGAACTCACCTAGGCTCCTTCAATAGCACCTTCCAAAACCAAAACGTCTAACATCTCATGGACAAGGGTAGCAGATGCAAGGAAATACCACTATCTGCAAATTTCCCTCCTAGCCATTTACCATCCTGAATTGTAACTGTATCTATGTTCCTCTACTGTGACTAGTTCAAAATCCCGGAACTTCCTTTCTAACAGCACTGTGTGTGTCCCTACACCCCAAAGATCGCGGTGATTTAAAAACCTTTTCAAGAGTAATTAGGAATGGGCAATAGATGCTGACCTGAACAACAACACCCACAGCCCATGACTGATTAAAAAACAAAAGAAATGGAGATGACAACTAAAGCAATTTATCACTCCTGACACCATCAGCCTACGACTTCTTTAACTGTTAATGTTGCGAAAAGTAAAAAAAATTCCTTTGCAGACTTGCAACACTGAACTAGTGATTTAGGGATAATCAGTCTGCTTATTTTGTCCCATTAACCTACCTGAAGTATGAAGTGTTTATGATCTGCATCTTCCAATGATAAATCTCTGTTGTCCAAATGAGTTTTCATTCTTGTAAGAAACTCATTTTGTCGGCTAATATCCGTGGCCAGAATGAGAGATCCTAACTGTTGCTCAATATCTTGTCTGCAACGAGAGCAAATTACATTATTCTCTCAATGCTGTTACTTTTATTGAACATTGCAAAGCTAAAGAAATATGGGAATCAAGCTGGTGTAGCATCCTTAGTGTCACAAAGTAGGGATGAAAACCAGATTCTCCATCTGCAAGCATTAAGCAAAGAAGAGATGCTTTACAGAGGACAGTGCCTCGCTACATTGAGAAAGAATTGGAGAAAATACTTCAGTCATTCACCTCCCACCAATCAAGTTTATTTGCTGTGCATATATGATTGCATTTGCTTATTTTCTGTAGCCCTATTCATGTTGGATTATGCTCATTTATGGAGTGAAATGAAGCCAAAAGAAATGGCGTGGATCCCAATACTTTGCAAGGAGAAGTGAGAAATACTAATATTCAATGTTGCTTCCACGTCACCTTTTGCTATCACATATTCAACAACTAATTCAAAATTGGTTCACTTCCCATCTCATGCTCATTTCACAACTGAGTGCTGCTTTAAATCATTAGCCCTTATTAAGTATCAAGGGTGCACTATTTTTTAACCAGAGTGTATTGAATTGCTATAAATGAATATTACTCACATCATATCCACGGGCAAATGAGCCAGCAGACCTGATTCTCGGAGCATCCCAACTGTCGATCTCCAGTGGTGATTCTCCAGTACAGAGATATTCTTAAAAGAGAGAGAATTAAATAAATGAAAGATATTCTTATTTCCAAAATGGCTCAGTCAGTAAATGAATAATCCATTGTAATACCAAGCTACCAAAACTGGAAGAGCCCTGGCCTGAATCTGGTTTGTGCTGAGTTATTGAGTCTCAATGGGACAATACAATGGAATTACTGCATTTGAGCAGTGCTAAGGAAAAATATATCATGCTGATTTCTACATTAATCACTTCTCTCATTTTGGAATAACTTAATCTCTGATTGACACCTCATCAATCAAGATTGGGAAGTTGCATCACAAACAGCTGTGAAAGGTGTACTAAGCTGCTGCTAAAACACTTCAGTTAGGATAACACTTTTATCCATAGATCTATAAACTCACCACAGAAAGCATGAAAAAATCCATCCTTGACAATTACCACACCATCAGTCCACTTGGAATCATCAGCAAAGTAATGGAATATGAAATTGATAGTCCTATCACTTGGCACTTTCTCAATGATGCTCAGTTTGAGCTCTGCTGGGGCTACTTGGTTCTGGACCTCATTACAGCCTTGGTCCAAGCATGGAAAAAGGAGCTGAATTCAAGAGATGAAGTGAGATTTGACACTGAGGCATCATTTGAGCCACAGTAGCAAGATGGTGCTCGAGCACAATTAAAGTTAATGGAAATCAGAGGAAACCTCTACACTGGTTTAAAGTTATACCTAGCACAAAGATGGATGCTTCTGTCTGTTTGTGGCCAGTTATCTCAGCCCTCAGCCAACATACAAAGTTCTTTGGGGTAGTAGCCTTGACATAGTCATCTTCAGATAAATTTTTAATGATCTTCCCTTCACCGTAAGATCAGAAATGTGAATGTTCACTGATGATTTACAGTGTTCAGCATTATTTACGACTCATCAGATACTGAAACAGTCAGCGCCACATGCAACAACATGTAAATAACATTCATGTTTAGATTGCAAAGTGGCAAGAATCATTGGCCTCAGTTCAGGACTTTTGCTCCTGGTCTAGATCTTTTTTAATAACTATGCTAAATCTGATTAAATCAGTTCAGTGGAATTACTTCCACTAAAAATGCTCTTCCACTGATACTACCCCTTTCACCTGCCCAGTACACCATATACACATTGCTGAAAGAACAATTAGTTAATGTGTTTACCTGGTATAAACTGGCTAGATGGTGTTTGGTTTTGATGAGAAAAGGTTGGTTGACTCCTGGATGATCAACATCATGCGCTGCAGCTGCTGTCAAACCAAGCATGATGTCAAGTGGTGTCAAAAACCGGGCGAGCTTTAATGGAAAAGTAAAATGGAAAAATGAATACTAAACAGTTATAAAGTGTTTAGGCCATTACTAAATATTATGCCACTGCAGCTATTAATATTCTAATGATAAAAAGCCTTGAATATAATCATATGTACAAATATAATTACGCTGACAGCAACTCAGGTTTCCTACAAAGTTGGATGAATTGCGTACAATCAATAACTCATGTGAAGTATATATTTCCAACCTGTTTACAGTGTTTATACATCACCCCCTTGATGCCACATATTTGCATTCTTGCCTCATTATGCATACTTATCTAATCACACCTTCAACCCAGTTGCAGAGTAATCTTTCACTATATTCACATAAACAAGCGAAGCATACTGAGAATCATCAATGATGATCACATCTATCAAGACCCCGAGATGTTCTGCAGACACCAGATGTTCTGTGGATAACTATGGATTCTGTGGCATAACATTATGTGAAACTGGAGCAGAAGGAGAGAAACTGCTCCGACCAATGAAATGATCAAGAACCAGCGGGCACAGTTTTGAAGTGTTTTGCGAAAGAAGCAAATCTGAAGCAAGAATAAATCTTTTCACACAGCAACTGGTTAGGATCTGAAATGCATTGCCTGGAAGTGTGGTGGAAAGGTCCAACTGAGGCGTTTAAGAGGGCATTGGATGATTAGTTAAACCAATGATTAGGGTTATGGAGATAAGGCAGTAGACCGGCATGCAGTTAAGATGCTCAGAGAGCCAGTGCAGACACAATGGACTGAACGGTCTCCTTTCGTACTGTAACAGTTTTGTGATTCTGTGAAAGAAAGTATTTGGAAGGCATATTAAGCTGGGGGTTTGTACAGTTGGTCATTTAAATTCAGTTTTGTGTTTACAAACCAATATATGGCTTTGTAAAAGGTCGAACGTACAGACTTGGAGCTTACAGTTATAGTAGAAATCTTTATTCTTTGTGTTTGTAGATCATTTGGATCTTTAAATTGAAAATCAATGGCAAATCTGGAGAATACCAAATTAATTGATTCTGATCATTATGATTTGCAACGTAAAATTTTGAACACAGTTATACACTAGACTGGTGTGATTAAAACAAAAGCAAAATACAGTGAATGTCTGTAAATAAAAACAAAAATTTTTCCAAAGGAACTGTTAGCTCCATGATACTCTGAATCCACTCCTCTATCACCATCAACACCTCATCCATAGCACATTCCCCTGCAATTGCAGGAGGTGTAACACTTGCTCTTTTTTAACTCCTCCCTCTCGTTGTCCAAGGCCCCAAACGCTCTTTGTGGGCAAAGCAATGATTTGCATGTATTTCTTCAAATCAAGCCTCCTGTAGTTTCTGCTCACAGGGTGGTCTCCTTTACATGGGGAAGGGCAAACAGTCTGGTGACTGCTCTGTAGCGCACCTCCATTCAGTCTGCAAATGTGACCCTGACCTTCCAGTTGCTTTCCATTTTAATGTCAAGTGCTCTCATACTTGCAGTTCTGCCGCACTGTTCCAGTGAAGCACAATACAAGCTGGAGGAACAGTACTTAATTTTCTATTTAGGCACGTTACAGCCTTCTGCACGCGGTACTAAGTTCAGCAACTCCAGACCACAAATTCCGCCCTCCATTTTGTTGCAGCTTCCTCCTCCCACTCCACCCAGTGTCTGGTTTTCTTGGTAATGCTTTCAAGCAGAATGGACCTTTAATCTCCTATTGATACCTACTATTAACATCTGCAATGTATCCATCTCTTCTCTACAACCATTACCAGCCATTTAAAACAATACAAAGAACTGCAGATGCTGGAAATCAGGAGCAAAAACAGAAATTGCTGGAAAAACTCAGCAGGTCTGGCAGAGTTAATGTTTCCAGTCCAGTGACTCTTCTTAGGAATATTCAGAGCAGCTCTGAAGAAGGGTCACTGGACCCGAAATGTTAACTTTGCGTTCTCTGATTTTATATTTGATGTAAACACCAAGCTTCACCCATCCTGGATCACTCACTGCACGTAGTTCTTGAGTTGGGAGAGACCTTTAGTTTCTGTGCACGACACAGACATTTATGCCATTTGGTTGCATTTCGCAAACATAGGTGCATACACATCTTACATGTAATATTAATATTCTCTCTTGACATTATGCAGTAGGACAGAGACTAATTCTTTGGGTGTAAAATATTTATCACAACACATTTCGGTTAAGATGGCAGCAGAGTAAGACCCTCCAGCTGGAGATCTTCTGCTCACCAGCTCCTTTTCCTCTCTCTTTCTTTTCTTCCTCGTGCTGCAGTTTTTCTTCCCACCTTCCCCCCATCAATTTTTAACTCCTTAAAGAACCCTACTTGGAGGGAATGGAGAATGGAGTCTGAGAACAGCCTGGCACAGGAGACAAGTCGTGGCCAGAGCGGCTGAGTCCCGGAAGCGGGAGCAGAGTGAATGCAGGCCAAGCTGGGAGCAGAGTCACGGACGGAGACCGGAGTGGGAGCAGAGTGAGCGTGGGCAGAGCTGGGGGCAGAGTCACGGACGGAGACCGGAGTGGGAGCAGAGTGAGTGTGGGCCGAGCTGGGAGCTGAGTCGCAGACAGAGTGGGAGCAGAGTGAGCGCGGGCCGAGCTGGGAGCTGAGTCGCAGACAGAGCGGGTGCAGAGTGAGCGCGGGCCGAGCTGGGAGCCGAGTCGCAGATGGAGCGAGAGCAGACTGAGCGTGGGCCTAGCTGCGAGCTGAGTCGCGGCTGGAGCGGGAGCAGAGTGAGCGCAGGCCAAGCTGGGAGCTGAGTCACGGCTGGAGCGGGAGCAGAGTGAGTGCAGGCCAAGGTGGGAGCAGAGTGAGTGCGGGCCAAGCTGGGAGCTGAGTCGCAGATGGAGCGGGAGCAGAGTGAGTGCGGGCCGAGCTGGGAGCTGAGTCGCGGCTGGAGCGGGAGCAGAGTGAGCGCAGGCCGAGCTGGGAGCTGAGTCGCAGACAGAGTGGGAGCAGAGCGAGTGCGGGCTGAGCTGGGAGCTGAGTCGCGGCTGGAGCGGGAGCAGAGTGAGTGCGGGCCGAGTTGGGAGCTGAGTCGCAGATGGAGCCGGAGTAGAGTGAGTGCGGGCCAAGCTGGGAGCTGAGTCGTAGATGGAGCGGGAGCAGAGTGAGCGTGGGCCGAGCTGGGAGCTGAGTCGTGGCTGGAGTGGGAGCAGAGTGAGCGC